AACAGTATCAAGGATTCCTCCAATCTCGATGGGTCCTGTAAGTTTGGATATTTTGAAAATTTGAAGAGCTGTTTCACTTTCACATTTTTTGTGCCTTTCTATCAGGCTCTGTAGGATAAGCACTGAATTACGAACCTCAAGGTAGTCAATATGAGCCCACCAGACCCTCCACTTGGGAGAAAAATTAAGTAACCTGCTCCCGCAAAGATTACAGCCTCGGAAACTCTATACAGGGTCACTATGAATCTGAACTGATTCCATGGCACTTAACCAAAAATAACAATAATCAGGATCTATCTATTGTGGCCCTGGTCAGAATGCGTGGTAGTAAAGCCAGGCATCATCTACTTCTGGTTTTAGGGTAGAGGAGGCATGGTTAAGGTACATAATTATCCTGTAGACCAGTCCTTCTCTGAATCTTGGGTTTGTTTCTCTTTTGCTCCAGACAACTACAGACCAATAGTTTATATTTTAGATGGCTGCTGACAAGCTTTTAAGACCCCAGTTGCTACCTACCAAAACAGAATGTAGAACATAAACTTTATGAACTATGTTATGACAAATGATCCCAAGGGACTATGACACTAAGTCTTCAAACCAAGTAAAATAATTCTGTAAGGTGAATGGTTATGTCTAAGAACTATCAGGTTTCTGAGAGTCCCATACGCCTTTTACATATATATATATGGAGTTCTGGTAGCGTAGTGGTTACGAATCGGGCTGTGAACCTTAAGGTCAGCGGTTCGAAACTACCAGCCGCTCCCGGGAGAAAGATGAGGCTTTCTACTCCCGTAAGGATTTGCACCCTCGGAAACCCTGTACAGGGTCGCTATGGGTCGGAACCAACTCAACAGCACTTAACAACAACAAATATATATATATTCACTATTGTTGCTGCTGCAAAATAATATTTAACACAACATTTACCAAAACATCCTTTTTCATGTGTACAATTGAGAAAGTGGCACCAGTTACCTTGACCAAACTGTGCCTACTTCACCCACATTTGGTGCTTTTTTTCCCCCATCAAAATAAAGTGACTACTACCTAGAGAAGGAACCCTTTCTCCCCACACTGCCCCAGCCATGGCAACTATCAGTACAAGTTGGTTTCTGTATATAAACCTAAGCATAGTTAAATTTTTAAAGGTTAACAGTATCAAGTACTAATGAAGATGTGAAGCAAATGCAACTTTTATAGATTGTTGATGGAAGTGTAAAATGATTCAATCACTTTGTTTCTAATAAAGTAAATTGTATTTCAAAACAATGTTCATAACAGCTTTATTTATAACAGTCAAAAATTACAAACAACTCAAATGATCCTCAATAGAATGGTTAAACAAATTACAGCACAATAATTTCATGAAATATAACAATATACCTAAAATAATATGAATGAATCTGAAAAATAGTTATGTTGAACAAAAGAAAACTAGACCAAAATTTTATAAGTTCATTTATATGAACTTCATAAACAAACAAAATTAATATATGGTCATAGAAATCATAAGAGCAACTGACAATATGGTGAGGGACAGACTAGAAAGAAACACAAAGAAACTTTCAAGGGTAATGCTACATGTCCCAGATTTCAGTAATGGTAATCTAGGTGTACATACTGTTCAAAACTCACTGAACTGTAAGTACTTAAGCTCTGTGTATCTTAACTAAATATAAATTATCCCTTTTAAGACAGAAAAAGGCTATGTACATATCAGCATTTTTTTGTTATGTAGTAAACAGGTAGAGTGAAAACACTAATACATGGGAGCATCAAAAAGTTCATGGAAAAATTCAGTTGTATTTTACTACCTTTTATCTATGAACTTTTTGCAGTCCCCTTGTACATCTGTTTGTAGTCATCAGAAATAATAGGTCTATTCTCCAAATCAAATTAAGACAGCAATATTATCACAAAGACTGAATTCTTCTAAAGGATGTGAATTTAAAAACAACTTACAGTAGCTGTTCAATTGCACTGCATGCCTTAATAATAAAACGATTTACACAGCACTGTTTATCAACTATGGGCTTATGCCTTGGGAAGACTATGGAGTATCTCAGAGTTCTAATATCCATCTAATATCCACATGCCCTTGCTAATTTCTTAATCAAAGGAAACTAGAAGTTCAAACATGGAAGCTATGTGGAAGTTTTTCGGAGTTTGTCCTTTTTTTTTTTCAGTGAATTCCCCACTTACCTGCAGAGCCAACTACTACTCAGATTTCTATAACCATGTATTAATTGTTCGTGAACTTCCTATAAATGGACTCCTTTGAAATGTATCTATTTGGGAGGA